ACGTGGTGGTCCTTGCCCTTGAGTTTATGGTCTACTAGGGGCCTGGGGGGGAAATGGCAAGTGAGTGACAAGTCCACAGGTCTCCGGAGGAGGTGGTGGCAGATAGAAGGAACTGAACGTACAAAGCATGGTGGCATCAGAAAATGAGGGCTGCATGTGGTTTATTGAGGGGCACTGTTCAGGGAATGCCCAGGAAGTTCAGTTGGCTGGAAACTTGGGGAGTGACAAGTGGCAGAGATTAGCAAACTCGGAGAGAGGTTTAGAAGGCCTTTCCACGGAAGGTGGTTGAACTATTTACTGAGGGCAATGGGACCTTTGAAGGGGAGTAGTTAAGCAGGGAGCTGATGGGATTTGTTGTTATGAACAACTAGCTGTTCTGTGGAGATTGGCTGGGCAGGGGTAGGTCTGTCACATTGAGGATACTGGTATACTTAAGTAATGACCTTCAGAACAGTGCCCCCGGCTGGCCTGTCTGGAAGCCAGGGTTTTGCATCCAGATCGAATATGGCCACAGATTGGATCTTAAAAGTTATTTTTAACAAAATGCTAACATTAGGATTTTTACTTGTGCATTCTTGTGTCTTCAAAATGAAGTGCAAAAGGAGTGTTTGCCTGGGGAAGCTCTTTAGTTGGAGTTTAGTTGAGATTATGTTAAATAAATGCCTTACTGTTAACATTTCTTTTTTTCTTTTTCTGTTGGACTTGAACCGTTAACATTTCTAAAGTGAAGGGAGTACAGTAAATTCTTTTAAACATTTGTCAGTATTTGGGTCTTGGTATGGCCATCTGGTATAGGCAACAGGTACTTGTGTAGAAATGTTTCTTCAACAAGAACAGGCAACCTCTAAACTGGGATTTTGTGGCTGGAGATATTTTGGATGTGAATGTATTAACAGCTTTGGAGAGACACATTGTTAGAGATCTAGGCTGGTGACTTGTAGAACCACCGAAAGCTCTGAGACAGAAAGGGGCTAATGAAAGTCTCTAGCTCCAATTGGGTGTGGACGGCACACAAACAGCTAAGTGTTTAAGTGATTTGCTGCAGGCTTCTCAGCTGACTGGAAGCAGAGAACATCTAGATTGCAGTTTCTCTGGTGCCAGGGCAGTCTTAGTTGTCCTGTTATATCTAAGAAAAGGGAGAAAAATTTCTATTCTTTAAATGTTCTGTAAATCAGACTAATGGTTCTAATTTTTAAAGTAAACTTTTCTTAAAAGATACAGAAGCCAGTTAAATTTGTATTTTAGATAAATAATTTTTTGTTAAAATAAGCTTTTGGTAATTGAAGAATAACATACATTCAGGAACATACAGAAATCAAGTGTAAACTCAGTGAATTTTTCACAGTTGATGCACCTGTGTAAGCAGCAACCCAGAAGCCCTCTACCAGTCACTGCCTCCTCTGAGCCAAAAGAGCCACTATCCTGACTTCTGAAAGCATAGATTAGTTTGGCCTGATTTTTTGTTTGTTTTCATTTTTGAGATAGGATGTTGCTTTGTTGCTCAGGCTGGAGTGCAGTGATCACAGCTCACTGCAGCCTCATCCTCCCATGCTCAAGCAATCCTCCCACCTCAGCCTCCTGAGTAGCTGGGACTATAGGCATACGCCACTGCGCCCAGCTAATTTTTTTTTTTTTTTTTTTTTTGATAGACACAGAGTCTCACTGTTGCCCAGGATGATCTCAAACTCCTGGACTCAACCAATCCTCCTGCCTCGGGCCTTGCAAGGTGCTAGGAATATAGGCGTGAACTACCACGCCTGACCAGTTTTGCCTGTTTTTGAACTTTATGTCAATGGAATCACATAGTGATACACACTTGCGTATCTGGTGGCTTTTGCTCAACCTAAAGTGTTTTTTTTTTCTTCCTCTTCCCCTTACAACTTTTTTTAAAGTTGTTTGACTTCATTAAAAAAAGAAAAGATTTGAGGTATAATTCATACACAGTAAAACGGACTCACTTTACAGGTAGTTTCAATTGTATACTGTTATATAATCACCATCAAGATCTAGAACTATTTCATCACCCCAAAAAGGTAAAATTTAAAAATAAATAAATAAAATAGAAAAATAATAATGGCTTTCCATGTCATGTGTAGTGTGTTCATTTCCTTTTTTGAGACAGTTTCGCTCTGTTGCCCAAGCTGGAGTTCAGCGGTACGGTCTTTGCTCACTGCAGCCTCGGCTCACTGCAAACCCCACTTCCCAGGTTCAAGTGATTCTCCTGCTTCAGCCTCCCCAGTAGCTGGGATTACAGGCGCACCACCACACCCAGCTAATTTTTTGTGTTTTTAGTAGAGACGGGGTTTCCCCATGTTGGCCAGGCTGGTCTCAAACTCCTAACCTCAAGTGATCCGTTCCCCTTGGCCTCCCAGAGTGCTGGAATTATAGGTGTGAGCCACTGCACCCAGCCAGTTTGTTCATTTTCATTGCTGTATTATTGCACGGTAGGAATGTACTATTCGTTCTGTTGATAGACATCTAGGCTGTTTCTGTTTCCATAATATTATGAGTAGTGCTTCTCTAACCATTCTCATATGTGTCTTTGGTGAAGGTATGTGTTCATTTCTGCTAGGTATGTATGTAGAGGTAGAACTGCTGAGTTCAGCGTTAGTAGATAGACTGCCAACAGTTTTTAAAATAGTTGTACCAATTTACACTATGCCATCAGCATATGAAAGTTCTCACTTTTCTATATACTCACCAACACTTAATGTTGTCTTTTTAACTTTAGCCATTCTTTGAGCTGCTAGTTGTAATTTAAGAAGAATAGGCTGGGCGAGGTGGCTCATGCCTGTAATCCCAGCACTTTGGGAGGCCGAGGCAGGTGGATCACTTGGGGTCAGGAGTTCGAGACCAGCATGGCCAACATGGTAAAACCCCATCTCAACAGCTTTTTAACTTTAGCCATTCTTTGAGCTGCTAGTTGTAATTTAAGAATACTAGGCTGGGCGCAGTGGCTCTTGCCTGTAATCCCAGCACTTTGGGAGGCCAAGGCGAGTGGGTTTTTGTGTTTTTGTAAAAATACAAAAATTAGCTGGGCGTGGTGGGGCATGCCTGTGATCTGAGCTACTTGGTAGGCTGAAGCAGGAGAATCACTTGAACCTGCCAGGTGGAGGTTGCAGTGAGCTGAGATCATGCCACTGCATTCCAGCCAGGGCAACAGAGTGACACTCTGTCTCAAAAAAAAAAAAAAAGAAGAAGAACAAAAAAATAAATAAAATAAAAAGGCCAGGCACGGTGGCTCACATATGTAATCCTAGCACTTTGGGAGGCTGAGGAGGGAGGATCACTTGAGGCTGGGAATTCGAGACCCGCCTGGCCAACATGGTAAAACCCCATCTCTACTAAAAATACAAAAATTAGTTGGGCGTGGTAGCGCGTGCCTGTAGTCCCACCTATTCGGGGGCTAAGTCAGGAGAATCATTTGAACGCAAAAGGTGGAAGTTGCAGTGAGCCAAAATCGCACCACTGCACTCCAGCCTAGGCGACAGAGCAAGACGCTGTGTCAAAAAAAAAAAATACCAAAAAACCCCAAAAAATAGTAATAAATTGCCAGATATTTTTGTAGGAGTTTCTTACCAGCAAGTTCTTGTGTTAGTTTATTTTACCAACATTTTTGTCTGGTTTTTCTTTAGTAAAAGTATTTATAATTCTGTATTATACTTCCATAGGTAGATCATTGTTGAAAGTCCAGAAGGTTGAGCTTCCATGATGTAATATGATATGAAATCTTGCATTGCTAGTGGTATTTGGTAGGAAAAGGGATGGGGAGTGGTTAAAGGTGAATTAAGCTGAATGCCTGTTTTCAATTTGTTTTTTTCTCGAGGCCATGGAGAAGCCAGTCTTTTTAGTTCTTGAAAATAGTGCTTTTAGTCCGGAGGCTGTGACTGATGTAACTAACAGGTCTTAGGTTTTGGTTTTCAGTGAGGTGCTGGCGGAGGAGTCCATAGTATGTCTGCAGAAAGCCCTAAATCACCTTCGAGAAATATGGGAGCTAATTGGGATTCCAGAGGACCAGCGGTTACAAAGAACTGAGGTGGTAAAGAAGCATATCAAGGTGGGTTGAATAGTACTGGTCTCTGCATTGGACCTGGGTAAGGATGTTGGTGTCTCACCCGAGATAGCATGCAGAAGGGACATGTGATCATCGGCATTGGGATAGCACAGCCTCTTCCTGTTTGGTTTGGTTTGGTTTTGAAGTCCCTTCTTGAAATTTGAGGAGGCTGGGCGCGGTGCCTCACGCCTGTAATCCCAGCACTTTGGGAGGCCGAGGCATGTGGATTGCTTGAGGTCAGGAGTTCAAGACCAGCCTGATCAACATGGTGAAACTCCATGTCTACTAAAAATACAAAAATTAGCCAGGCATGGTGGTGAGCACCTGTAATCCCAGCTACTCGGCAGGCTGAGACAGGAGAATCTATTGAACCTAGGAGGTGGAGGTTGCAGTGAGCCGAGAATGTGCCATTGCACTTCAGCCTGGGCAACAGAGTGAGACTCCGTCTCAAAAAAAAAAAGAAAAAAGAAATTTGAGGAGTTTGGTATTGGTGTTGGGAGGCTTTTTTCTCCATTGCCCCAAACTTACGGACTGTTTTCCCTCTTGTAGGAACTCCTGGATATGATGATTGCTGAAGAGGAAAGCCTGAAGGAAAGACTCATCAAAAGCATATCCGTCTGTCAAAAAGAGCTGAGCACCCTGTGCAGCGAGTTACGTGTTGAGCCATTTCAGGTCCGTGGCAGCCCTCAGGGTCTCTGGGGATCTGTCTGAGGCCTGAGATTTAGGAAGTAGCGTTGACTTGGGCCTGCAGATGGAAGGCTTCCTCATAGGGATGGAGCTAGACATGAGAAGTGGGGAAAACATGCTGGGCGTAATTAGGCCCAGCAGAGTAATTCTCACCTCTGTAGAGAGTTGCCCTGGTAAGAGGTGAAACAACTAATAGATGATCAAAAAGAAGCTGCTGTTTACCATAGTTTTGCTTTGTAGGGAATATTAATTTTTTTTAATAAACTCTGAGAAAAAGGTAGGCATAGATGGTGCTGCACTGTTCTTTCTCTGAAAGAAAATGAAAACAGGAACAAAGTAATGATAAAAAGGAATACTACGAAAAAAACAAATCTTTGTGGGTTTTATCATACCCAGAAGCTGCATACCACTGAACCAGCCAAAATAGCTACTTCAGAAGAAATGTCTCAAAAGCTGGAATATTGGGAGTGCATAGTCCAGTTCAGAGCATGCCATGACATCCATCTGGGTATGGAGCTGAGAAGTGGCTATATTGTGGTTCACTGCAAGTCAGGGACTTGAGTGAGGACACCAGAAAGGATGAAATGAATAACAGATGGGGTCCTGAAAAATCTCTGCTTAGAACCAGTAAAAACAGTGCCAGGATCATAAAAATTCAGACAGATGTGGAGCTTGGAAAGATAATGAGTACATCCATAAGGTTCTCAGGTCCCTCTTCCTGTTACAGGAAGACCTGCCTGGGTATCTATTTGGAGTTAGCTTAGGAGGGAGACCGCCTTTAAAGGGCAAAGGATAATTCATACCTGGTAGCCAAGAGCAATCAGGCAGAAGAGAACATGAAGTGGAGCTTCCTGGAGTCAACATAAATTTCATAAATATAATTGATTTTGGACATAGTTTCTCTTTCTTTTTTCACATTCAACGTGAAATTGGGCGAGAAGTGAGGTGTACGATGATATATCTCCCTTAAGTTGCCTGATATTCCTAGTTCACAATGTTAAATGAAATTCTGTAAATTTATAGGACATATAGGAAAAATTTTTATGTCCTATAAAAAATGCCACTTTTTTTTTCTTGTTACCAATTAGGAGCAGAGCAGGGACTACCAGAAGGGTTTTTGTTGGTAAGGTGAGACGATGTTCATAGGATTAGCAGGGTGAGTATTTAGATATGAGCTAGGCATGCCACCCTACAGCTAACCCAAAGGAAGCTTTCCAGCCAATTTACACATTTATTTATTTATTTATTTATTTAGAGACAGAGTCTCGCTGTGTTGCCCAGGCTGGAGTGCAACGGTGCAGTCTCGGCTCACTGCAACCTCCGCCTCCCGGGTTCAAGCGATTCTCCTGCCTTAGCCTCCCAAGTAGCTGGGATTACAGGTGCCCGTCACCATGCCTGGCTAATTTTTCTATTTTTAGTAAAGAGGGGGTTTCACCATGTTGGCCAGGCTGGTCTCCAACTGCTGACCTCGTAATCCCAAAGTGCTGGGATTATAGGTGTGAGCCACCGTGCCTCCCAAAGTGCTGGGATTATAGGTGTCAGCCACCGTGCCTGGCTGCCAACTTACACTTTTTATAAAAGTGCCTAGTGCCTGGAGTAGTCTAATCATAGAGAGAAAAGTAGAATGGTGGTTGCCAGGCTTGGAGAAAGGAAAAAAATGGGGACTTATTGTTTGAGTATGAAGTTTCACTTTTGCAAGAGGAAATGAGTTTTGGAGGTGATGGTCATGATTGCACAGCAGTATGACTGTACTTAATACCACTGAACTGTACACTTAATGGTTAAGATGATAAATTTTATGTTATATGTATTCTTTTTTTTTTTTTCGAGACGGAGTCTCGCTCTGTCGCCCAGGCTGGAGTGCAGTGGCGCGATCTGGGCTCACTGCAAGCTCTGCCTCCCTGGTTCACGCCATTCTCCTGCCTCAGCCTCCCAAGTAGCTGGGACTACAGGCGCCTGCCACCTCGCCCGGCTAGTTTTTTGTATTTTTTTTATTAGAGATGGGGTTTCACCGTGTTAGCCAGGATGGTCTCAATCTCCTGACCTGGTGATCCGCCCGTCTCGGCCTCCCAAAGTGCTGGGATTACAGGCTTGAGCCACCGCGCCCGGCCTATGTTACATGTATTCTACCACAAGTTTTAAAATTGGAGGAAAAAGTACCCTATTCACCTTTCCTCACTGGGACCTTCCTTTGGAAACCCTCTTTATGCCATATTCCGTTGACCATGAGTTGACTTACTTGTAAGTTTAACTGAAAGTCTGTCATCCAAGCCTTCTTATGTTATCCTTCTCTTCCTTTGAAGGAATTCACTTGGAATCTTGTAACAGTGGTACATTGTCTTATTCAGGAAGAAGGAGAGACAACCATCTTGCAACTAGAAAAAGATTTGCGCACCCAGGTGGAATTGATGCGAAAACAGAAAAAGGAGAGAAAACAGGAACTGAAGCTACTTCAAGAGCAAGATCAAGAACTGTGTGAAATTCTTTGTATGCCCCGCTACGATATTGACAGTGCCTCAGTGCCCAGCTTAGAGGAGCTGAACCAGTTCAGGCAACATGTGACAACTTTGAGGGAAACAAAGGTACACTGCCTACATTTGTACTTCCTAAAAACCACTTTGGTTTTCCTCTAGGTATCTTGTAATTGCTTTGTTTTAAAGGCTTCTAGGCGTGAGGAGTTTGTCAGTATAAAGAGACAGATCATACTGTGTATGGAAGAATTAGACCACACCCCAGACACCAGCTTTGAAAGAGATGTGGTGTGTGAAGACGAAGATGCCTTTTGTTTGTCTTTGGAGAATATTGCAACACTACAAAAGTTGCTACGGCAGGTACTGTCTTCTCAAATTATGCCCTAGGATCTCCGTAGTATATAGTTTGAAAAAAACTGACAGCTGTTTCTTCAGTCTTAAATAAGGAGACAATGTAAGATGAGAGAATGAGGGAAGATAAGGATAGTAATATATGATATACAACCTTGATTTTTGTTTACTAGTTAAAAAAGCTTTATATGTAGCTCCAAGAAAATGAAATTATAGATGAAATAACATTAGTCATTTGAATTAGATTAGTGTTTAATTAAAATTGTTTTCAGTTCTAAATCTGAATGCTAATTCTTGGAGTCTGAGATCCTGACAGCCTTACAGCTTGTGTTTAGGAGGCATGAAAACATGCTACTTTGAGTTCTCATGAAAGTGCCTCCTCTACCCGTGGGTCCAGACATTTCTTTGCGGGAGGCCAGAGGGCTAGCCTCTGTGCTGCTGCTTCGCTGTGAGTGACACTGGCTTTCTGTGCTGTAGCTGGAAATGCGGAAATCACAAAATGAAGCAGTGTGTGAGGGGCTGCGTGCTCAAATCCGAGAGCTCTGGGACAGGTTGCAAATACCTGAAGAAGAAAGAGAAGCTGTGGCCACCATTATGTCTGGGTCAAAGGCCAAGGTCCGGAAAGCGGTAAGAAACCCAATGGGTACTGGCTCAGAGTCTTCTCTTAGCACTTCTGTGTTAGTCATAAAGACTGTTGATTTGGCCTGGCGCAGTGGTTCATGCCTCTAATCCCAGCACTTTGGGAGGCTGAGGTGGGTGAATCATTTGAGATCAGGAGTTCGAGACCAGCCTAGACAACATGGCGAAACCCTGTATCTACTAAAAATACAAAAATTAGCCAGGCGGTAGTGGCACATGCCTGTAATCCCAGCTACTTGGGAGGCTGAGACAGGAGAATCGCTTGAGCCTGGGAGGCGGAGGGGTGTAGTGAGCCAAGGTCGTGCCACTGCACTCCAGTGTGGGCGAGAGAGTGAGGCTGTGTCTCAAAAAAAAAAAAAATATTGATTTATAACACCTTTGTGGCTTTGCATTATAATTTTACTTAAAAGGGAGGGAACTTTTGCAAACTTTAGTGAATATAAAAGTATGACAGCCACCTTTAACAAGTTTCTTTCTTTCAGCTGCAATTAGAAGTGGATCGGTTGGAAGAACTGAAAATGCAAAACATGAAGAAAGTGATTGAGGCAATTCGAGTGGAGCTGGTTCAGTACTGGGACCAGTGCTTTTATAGCCAGGAGCAGAGACAAGCTTTTGCCCCTTTCTATGCTGGTTAGTACAGGAGTGAGGTCTTTGGTTTGTTTGTTTGTTTGTTTGGAGACAGGTCTTACTCTGTTGCCCAACCTGGTCTCAAATTCCTAGGCTCAAACAGTCCTCCTACCTCGGCCTCCCAAAGTGTTGGGCCACCACACCCAGTCAAAAGTGTGGTCTTCCTGTGGCCTGCTCACTAGTTTTTAAGACATCCAGACATTCAACAGGAAGTATTACCTCTTCTGAACAGATAAAGCCACCTTTTCAAGACATTTAGCATAATTGCCATTCCTGTATGAAAAAGTATTTGCAAATATTATTGGGAAATACTCGTCTCTTGCTTTCTGAAGCAATATGTCACTGTAGCTTCTAGCTGTGAAGCTTAAGTTTTTATCAGGTGCTTACTTTTTGCAGGTGCAGTGTCAAACCCTTAATATTATTTCACAGAATCCTCATGTCAAGAGCTAAGGATACTAAAGCACATAAATACTGAGTAACTTAACCCAGAGACATACAGTGGTAAATGCCAGAGCCTATGTTTGGGCCAAAAGGAGCTTGACTCCTGGAGCCCAGTGGATTTCTAGTCTGAACTGAACTGAATATAAAGATGAAGCTATCCCAACTAAATTCAACAGATGTTTTTGCACATTTTCTGTGATCCACCCCTCTACTGGCTGGGCAAGACAGAAAAGAAGAATATGGAAGAAACCGAAGACAAGGCAAGAGATGATGCAGATTTTTGACAACATTATTTTAGTCTTTATCCTAGTCTCTTAGGCCCTAGTCCCTCAGGCCGATTGTGACAAAGCTGGTTTTTATTAACCACTATATATCTATTACACACACACACATGCCTCTTCCTGTATCAGTTTACTATAAGGAAAGAATCTATTTCCATTTTAGTGAATGGATGATTTGTAAAATTGGATACTAAACACTAGAGGAATTGTTTTAAACTACTGGGCCTATATTTTGCAGAGGACTACACAGAAAATCTGCTCCAGCTCCACGATGCTGAGATTGTGCAGTTAAAAAACTACTATGAAGTTCACAAGGAACTCTTCGAAGGTGTCCAGAAGTGGGAAGAAACCTGGAGGCTTTTCTTAGAGTTTGAGGTATTGCCCTAGTTTTTGTGTTTTTGTTAAGAAACCATGCCATGTACGGAATCAGTCCAGTTAGCTTTGTTCTTTGCCAGGCTTTTGATACCCCATCTTTAAGTCTCTCTAAATTTCTGCTGACCCCTCTATTTGGTAAGCTTATCTGCAGGGTCTTATAAGAGAAAAGCCCAAAATTAATGGCTTAAATAAGGTTGGCATTTCCTGCATGAATGAGGTTCAGAGGTGGGCAGTATGGGGCAGGCATAGCAGATCTGCACAGTGAGCAGGGCCCCAGGTTTCTCCGGCCCAGGGCGCTCCCCCACCACTAAGGGTGGACCTTATTCTCAGGGCCAGGATGGCTGCTACTAGAGCTCCCACCCTGATGGCACTTTTTTTTTTTTTTTTTTTTGGAGGTGGAGATTTGCTCGTCACCCAGGCTGGAGTGCAATGGCGCGATCTTGGCTCACCACAACCTCCACTTCATGGGTTGAAGCAATTCTTCTACCTCAGCCTCCCCAGTAGCTGGGATTACAGGCATGTGCCACCATGCCCGGCTAATTTTGTATTTTTAGTAGAGACAGGGTTTCACCATGTTGGCCAGGCTGGTCTCAAATTCCTGACTTCAGGTGATCCGTCCATCTCGGCCTCTCAGAGTGCTGGGATCACAGGCGTGAGCCACTGCGCCTGGCCCCTGATGGCACATTTCAGACAGTGTGGTGGAGGAGGAACAAAGAAGGCATTGCCCCTCACTCCTTCAAGAGCTCTTCCTGGCTCTCTTCACAGCACCGTGGCTCACATGCTGTCAGCTGCTGGTGAGGCTGGGTGAATTGCTGCCCCAGGTAAATTCTGGTTCTGTTACTAAGGAAGGAGAGAAGAATGGATGTTGGGGCAGGCAACTAACATATTCTACCATTCCAGCTTTTGCTATTTACTTAGAAAATTGCATGGGTATTGATTCCTTTTCTTCTGATAGGCAGCACAGATGGGTTCCTTCAGAGCATTTTAGAGCTCAGGGACTATGGTGAGGCAAGTGAGGCGTGTAGGGCACAGATTGAGGGACACCTTGTTCTTGGGTTCATGCTGGCCCTGTTAGAGCTCACAGGGCCTTCAGAGAATCTGAATTCAACTCCTTCAAGTTTACAGGCAGCAAACTAGGACTCAGAAGTGGAGAGAACTATGGGATATCTTATAGCTGTTTAAGAACAGATGTCTTTGTCCTCAGTTATTCTTTACTTCTGGTTACAACAAAAAGAAGAGTAAACATAAATAAGGAGGCCGGGCACGGTGGCTCATGCCTGTAATCCCAGCACTTTGGGAGGCCGAGGCGGGCGGATCACAGGTCAGGATATCGAGTCCATCCTGGCTAACATGGTGAAACCCTGTCTGTAATAAAAAAAATACAAAAAAATTAGCTAGGCATGGTGGTGGGCGCTTGTAGTCCCAGCTACTTGGGAGGCTGTGGGAGAAGAATGTCATGAACCCAGGAGCCGGAGCTTGCAGTGAGTCCAGATCAAGGCACTGCACTCCAGCCTGGGTGACAAAGCAGGACTCCGTCTCAAAAAAAAAAACAAAAAACAAAAAAACCATAAATAAGGAGCTAAGGCAGCAACCTTTGTTGACATGCCAGTATTTAAGAAGAAAACAAGAAATGAATTACCATCCTGTCTAGTAACGATTGGCTATCACCAATCAAGCAGTATGGAAGGGAAACAATTTAATTTTCAAGAATGTCTTCTAAATTTTTCTGCTTATGTGCCCCTATTTTTGAGTATACATACCTAATTTATAATTACAAGCTATATACTTGCATTACTGTTCTGATATACTATATATGTTCTAAAAGAAAACACATGCTGGTCCAAGAGTAGTGGCGTTTATAACTCAGTGATCACAGCCAGTTACAGATTTGTTCCTGTCCCACTGCATTACTTGACTAGAAAGAAGACGACAGTAAAAAACAGAAAAGTTAATAGAAAGTTAAAAAGGATGAGAAGCTTTAACTATTTATTTTTATTTATTTATTTATTTTTTGAGTCTCACTCGTTGCTCAGGCTGGAGGGTAGTGGCGTGATCTCGGCTCACTGCACGCCACCCGGGTTCAAGTGATTCTCCTGCCTCAGTCTCCCGAGTAGCTGGGACTACAGGTGACTGCTACCAGGCCCACTAATTTTTTTACTCTTAGTAGAGATGGGGTTTCACCATGTTGGC